GTCTCAAAATTTTGGCTTTTCCAATCAAAAATTGCATGAAGTTTCACAAACATATGAAAGACAAAAATTTAAAGTTACGAAATTTCAAAAAAAAATTTTTTTCGAGCAAATCGTCATTTTTCGTATCCTAATACCTTAAAGCGAGGCATTTTCGAGCAGAGTTCATAAGAAATAGAGTTATTAGACTTTCTCAAAGTCCTTTAAAATTGTTTACCTCATATTACGCTCACTTCGCTCGCTCTCGCAGAGGTCGACTTGGAACAAGTCTAGAGCATAATTTTGTCACGCGATACTTACTTTTGACAGCGTTTGCACATCTTGGAAATCGTCTATGCGATCGGTTACACTTATTTGGGTTGGCCACTCATCTATGCTCAAGCTGTTTGTCACCTTTCATTCTGAAAAGCCGAATACCCCGTTCACACCAGCTAACTTTGTTCAATTATTAATTTCTCTTTCCCACATCTTTCTTTGTTTGGCTGCCATCTTTAAACAGGATTAAAATTCTGCTCGAGGTGTTAAACAAGGTTTAACTGTGCGCGCGGTATGAACGGCCACTAGATAAACTTGTCAACTTTTAAACATGCTAAGGTCACATGGTGTGAATGGGGAAAACGTTTGTTACATTATTACCGGTAAATTTTTGCTTTCTAGTCTCATTATGATATGCTAAGAAAGCGGTGATCTACCTACCGAAAAGATTGGGAAATATTTAAATTTTTACTAGTAAATTTAGTACTAAAGGCGCGGACACAGGGTGCAACATTGCAGGCAATGATACTGAAATAGAGTAGTTTTCTACTTCAGCAATGCTGCGTGCAACAAATTGCGGCTTGTGTCATGGCTCGCAGCATCAATAATTACATGCAAATTGCGCGCAATATTGCACCGTGTGTCTGTCCGTAGCTTAACTTATAAATCTGGGGGCTCTGAAAAGAGCACACACATTCCATTTCGACGTACACTGTGCCAGGTAGATCGCGTTTTTCTAGTTTTTTTCCTAGTTGAATAATACTTACTGAATGTATCCTGTTCAATTCTCAGAAAACGTTTTAGAAAATGGCAAAGTTTACCGCGACCTTTTCCTCCAGGAGGTTGCTGCTCAGTCTGCTGCGGTTGAAGAGATTCGACAGCAAGGTCAAATGGTTAATGAAAAGCTTGACACCATAATTGCGAACCAAACGAATAGCGGTCAGTCTGATATCAGAAACCAGCTGAGTCCCCGACGTGGCGGTCCTAATTGGGATGAATGGATGAAGTTCCGTAATAATGTACGCAATTTTGACCATTTCCAGAACAACTATATTCTTATGACTGACGCAATACCACCAGACTTGATGGAACATTTCTCGATTTTTCGAAGCGTTCCCTGGAAAATGGTTCTCGATTTTGACCCATCATCCGAAGAGAAGGGAATGTATCAAGACTTTTCCTCAAAGGATGGGAAAAACAGCCTCATTAATATGATCACACCTGCTGAGATAAGATGCAAGTCTATTGCTAATCTAGCTCGAGATATCGATGCGAACAAGACTCAATGGATGTTTGTCAATGGAAGAGAGAATGATAGATCTGATGGGGGGCCTCAGGGCTTCGAAGACTGGGAAGACAATGCAGTGGGAGATATTTCAACTTTTTTCAGGTGTTGCTCGGAACCCGATAAACTCGACAAAAATAAGCCATTGGTTTGCTTGGTATTGCCGTTCAGAGAAGAAACTGTCCCTTTTATGGATATGACGGTAAAGAGGCTGTTGGAAAATTTCAAAGAATTTGACTTAAAGTTCATTGGAATTACGCCAAAAGACCAGCCGTGTGCTCTTCCAGAAAGAATGCTGAAAAAGATCAATATCCACACTACGGATCTTGAGCCACAACTTTTGTGCCTAGGAATGGAGGACCTTTTCAAAATTTCGTCAGAGCAAAGTTACTGCATGCCAACTTCTCAAGCAAATATGCCCGCAAAGCTGACACAAACGGATTGCCTTTATCTCAAAGAGTATTTAGATGTTCTGTATGAAGGTTGTGAAGATCTTCCAAACATGATTGATGTCGGAGAAGACGGTCAAAAACCTGAAGATTTGATTGAAGAACACAAAAAGTCTTTCATGTCAGGAAACTGTATTTCTTTCGTTAGCCTTTATTACAGCCATGATGCAAAGAGAGAAATCGGTAACGAAATTCGAACACATATTCAAAGGCTTTTAGATCAAGGACTTACCCACTCAACTATAGTCGAAATTTCCCATTCACCTGGTTCTGGTGGGTCAACGATAGCGAGGCGTGTGATGTGGGATATACACAAGTCTTACCCTTGCGCAATTGCAAAGCTAGGAGACCATAAATTTGATCTCGAAGATGACAACGTGTTTTTAGATAACCTTGTAGACCGCATAAATGCAGTACAAGAAATATGCCATACAACCCCTGTGGTTCTTCTCGATGGAAAGCACACAAGAATCGAAGCTCTGAGCAACAGGCTAGTTCGTATCCTTAATAGCAGAGGAAAGAGGGCTGTGCTACTGAGATGTAACCATAATCTAGAAAAAAGCAAAGCTCGAAGTTCCACCCTGGAATCTTCAGATGTTCATGCTACTTTTTCTGTTAATGTCAGGCTTGAAGAATCTAAAGCTGATCTCAAAGAATTTGAATCAAAATACAAAGATTACATCAAAGAATGCAAGAACATAAGATCTTTGTCAGGTCTCTCCAGAGTATTCCATTTCCCTCTCTTTGCAATGCTAGAGGAATTTAGAAACAAGCTACAAGAGATTATCTATGAAAGTTTTGACGAAATGACTGACATAGAGAAAGAGATCGTCACTGTCGTCGCCTTTATACAAAGGTTTGCAGCTCAGGCTATACCAGCACCCCTGTTATACACAATATTCCAGCAATCGATTCAAGCTCACCAGAGTAGCACATTTCCCCGTGATTTGCAAGGCGTTACATATGAGGACATCGGCAGCACAATAATGACAGAACGCTTATGGAACTTAATGGTTCCTGCAAACCCTGCTAAATCCATTTGTTTAGGCAGAAGATTTAAGAGAGAGAACTACTTTCAAGAAATGTACACCCTACAGCATCCAGTTGTCGCAGAAATGGTCCTCCAAAAGGCGAAGATTGCTCTGAAACGTGATACGTTAGCTCTAGCTCGTGATTTTCTTGGCTTCCCCATTTTTGACGACATCCGTTTTATGCCTCTAATGAAGGATTTGTTTGTGCTAAATGGATGTGGTCAAGGAAAATTCTCTGTGCTTTTCGAAGAGCTGAAGGTAATGAATCCACACGAAGCTGGAGATGTGTTTTGTGAGGCTGCAGAAAAGACCAAAGATCTCGTTGTGGTCACAAGCGCAGCACGATTCTATGCCAAGGTGCCTCCGCAGTCTTTCTCAAAAGCCAAAGAACTGATTGAGAAGGCGTTTGAGTGTGCAAATGCTGAAGAGAAGCAGAAAACAATATATGACGTGAAAGGAGTCGTCCTTTTAAAAGAATTGAAATCTTTGGCTAAAAGTGAAAAAATTGCTTCACTGGAACACTTGCAGCAATTGGCGCAAACAGTGATAGAATCCTTTAAATCTGCAAGGACATTCCCTCCATCCTTTCCTAACCCTCTCATCGGAGAGGTCAGGACTTGGGTGACTTGCATAGAATGGATAACGAAAAACATCTTCAACGGAAGTTCAATCATGGCCTTGCACTTCATCACGTCATTTAATGCTCCTCCATTTTTTCAGACATGCGTGAGCGATTCATTTCATCTCTTAGATGTTGTCGATTACATAGTCAAGTCAGTCAGAACTTTGTCAAATCCGGAAAAGACGCACAAAGAAGCCAACAATGTAAGACTTTCACTTATGAAAGCCTTGAATTGTCAAGAAGGAAGAAACGCATCTGAAATTATCCGGGAATGCAAGGCCCTTTGTTCTGCAGAGATATTTCGCTCGTCGTCTCAAATGGAATTGAAGCGTTTACGAGTGCAATATGTGTTTAGCTGCGTGAAAGAAATCGAAAGCATTGATAAAAGGGGACTTGAGTACTTGCTAAAACTGCTGAAAGATTTAGTGGAAGTCGGGAAAGATGAAATCTTTGCAAATCATCTGATGAGGATTTGCGTTCTTATTACTGGCCCTCAACAGTACTCATTAGATCAAGGCCTGGCAGTCTGCAAGATTTGGAACCAGAAATCTAAATATGAGGCTCTTCCCCATTTTTACGAAATGATGATTTACTTTCTAAAGATACTGGATGGAAATGAGATGGAGTTTAGGTCCAGGTATCTTAATGCTCTAGAAAAATGTCGCGAGAAGTCCTATCACGACTGTAGGAACACCATGTCAACGCACTTTTTGGGCAAGACAGGGACAGGAATGTCTCGCCTCATGACTATAAACACTTTATTCCGTGGCACAACAGATAATAAACCTGTTCATGATGCAGCATATTGGAAAACAGGAAGTCGAGAGAGGCTAATGGAATGCTGTGGTCGAATAAGAAGTCGTTCCTCAGGTACTAACAAAACTTTTCTTACAGTTGAACTTATGCCAGGCATCGAGCTTTACATTGCCAAGAGCGCTGGTATCGGAATAGCTGATCGACATTTTGTTCCTGGAAGTATGGTGTACTTCGTGGTCAGTTTCAACCTTCGGGGACCAGTTGCCAACGGGATTAACTTCAAGTCTTCGTTGATGTTGCTATCCAGACAGCAGAGTTTTGGCAATAGCTAGCTGAGCATTCATCCAAACATGCTATAACATAAAAATGAGAAATGAATTTAAAGAACTTCTTGAAAGAACAGGCGAAAGACACACAAACATCACATGGGAAGAGGCAAAAGAAAACAGCAGACAACAGAGTGAGGTGGAGGACAATGATGAAAGGCCTATGTTCCCAAAAGAGCGATGAGGACTAAAGAAATTAAATTCACCTGGATCTTTTGCCACCGCATAGCTAGATATAATAGACATGCACAAAGAAAAGCAGGAACAACCACACTTAGGTAGGAATCAGCACGCATTAGACGGATTATTTGCATTTTGATTCAATGTCAGAATTTGAACTACTTCTAGTAATATAGTGAATGTTTGACAGAAGCCTCTTAAAGGGTTAAAAACCAATAAAATTAAAGCAAAAAAAATTCTAGTTAAAAGTTGAATTGAGAGGGTCTCTATTAGATAGGATATGCAAATTCTATATTTTTTAGACTAAATACCAAAGAAAATCAGTAACTGAATTTGAAGAATTTGAACTCAAGAAATACTGATATTTTACACATACACAAATATGAAATATATATCAGAGATAAAACTACACCACAAATGGACGCCCTTTGCAGTTAACGGTCACGTGTCTGTACTGGTGAGCAAAATTTGTTTTTATTTTAAATTGGTGATTCTTTTTAGCTACTTGTAAAGAACTCAATGAAATGATGTGTAATCAGTGTGTTAGGAAGTGCAGTTTTATTACGATCTCTCGGAACAGGTTGTAGAAAGTTTGTTTGCTCACCAGTATATTTCACCCATGGGAATCAAGATGTTCATTCATTTGCTCTCAGTGAATTAATCAGCACGTGATTACTGAGCTGCAAAGGGCCTATTGCACCAACATCTCATACAAGTTCTTTTAAAAAAATACAACCTATTTGATACACACAACAACTAAAAATTAAATATTGCAAGTATTTCACCCCACAGAAGATTTATCTGTAAAATCGTTTTTTTCATTTCACCATAGTACATTCCTAAGGCTTTTTTCTTTATTGAACCATATTTCCCCCTTATTTTTCTCTCCAAGAACTAGGGAGCTCATCTAGGGAGATAACAAAAATCTTTTAGGTATTTTAGCAGAGTGAGGGCATACCTTAGGGGCAAGGGAGAAACGTACCTATGTAAAACATAGTGCACTAAAGTTACCATGTCAAATAAACTAATAGATTCTGTTAGCAAGAAATATTAATTGTATTGTGTTGTTGATAAATTTATACATGAAGTCATCACACTTTGTAATTTCTGAAATTGCAGTAGCATTTTAATGATAATTATTAGAATATTCAAAAAATCATTACTCTCGCAGGAAAAAAACCCCAGATTCCCAAATTGGGAATTGTTGGGAATTTCCTTGAATTCCCAATTCGAACACCAACGTTGGGATTTATTGTTGGGAATTTCCTTCTAATACCCACCCAATAGAAAAACAAAATTCCCAACAAACTAACATTGGGAATCAGAATTTCGTTCTCTCTGGGAATTGGATGGGAATGCGTTTGGAATTCAAGGAAATTCCCAACAAATTTTTTTCCCCTGTGCTATTACATTAGGAAATGTTTCTTGTACTTTGTCTTTCAACCTCCTCATGACACAGGTTGAAAAAGATAAAAAGTATATTGTTAATACTCCAGTTTCAAATTCTCTTTTGCTCAGCCTTAACCTTGGTGGTGCGATAAACTATTCAACCATTAACCAAATCCTGTGGAATTTTAATTAACATGTATTGTTCCATAGTACTTACATTCCTTACTATACAATGTGTCATTGGGCCTCAATAAAAAAGATTACATTTGCATGCTATCAAGGCTAAGGCTGAGCGAAGGTAAGCTCGAAATTGGAGTATTGTCTAACAGTTTTGTTGCAGCCTTGCTACAATAAATAATTGTGACCTGATTATCACAACAATAGCCATAAAGTCTTTGCTTAAAGCAAAATCCATTAGGCCAAATGCAAACTACTTCTTATCATACTGTATGTAACAAAATTGTGAGACAATTTGCTAAAAAATACTTTTCATTATCATCTGATAGCAAAGCTTGACTAAAATTCAATTATTTTCCTTCTTGATTCCATGACCCAGATATTTTCCAGTCATATGAACCATCTTTGCACAACAGCTCTTTTAGACAGTTCTTTTGCAATTCCTTTTGAGACTGTGACAAATACTCAGCTTGTGATTGTGACAGTCCATATTTGCTGTGAGCCACCAAAGGAAGACCCTCCTCATGGTCCTCCTCATTACTAACCGATGGTACGTTGAAGGCAACAGTAGGTTGGTACTGCACCATGGTAGCAGTAAACTCTCCTTTTTGTGTAGTATTTAACAACTTACAGATGTTGTGTAAACATCCTGGTAATATAGGACCAGTTACTTCAAGGCTGAATAGCTAAAACAGTAAAATACATACAACAATGTAAGGATTTCGGATAAAATGT